TCCTGATCTACCTGGACGTCTGATTAATGGGCTCAGTGTCACAGGTCATAAACTAAAACAAACTCTAAAATTAGGGAATGCTTTACTAGTGCTTTGTTTCCTTATCATATACAAATTTTATATCACATTTCTTCTCAAAGGATCAAAGGGAAAAAATAGGATACATTATTTAAATTGTCCTGTTCCTCCAAAAGCCAAGGAAGTCCACTTCAAAATGTTTTTACCCCTCTAAGGAATCCTCAGACTTCGATTTGCTGTTGATGATAAAACATGTTTACTTTGTGATGTGATATTGACTCGACTGAACATCTTTACATGAATGTGTAAATCTTTCTGTTATGATGTGCAACACTGGCTTTTCCCTAAAACTCCAAACTTACCTAAATTTTCTAAGACATTATTTATGGGAGAGAAGAAAAAAAATCTGAAAGGCTACTAAATGTTTTTCATTCACAAATGTTGTTTTCTTAAAGCAAAACTTTTTTCCCCATTTTTCACAAGGAGCTCTTCTTATCCATAAAATTCATGGACAAACAACCAGATGCAGAACTGGATCATAACCAATCTGAAACCCCCGATGCCTGTGAAGACTTTCAGGTTTGAGTACGTCTGATACTGATGCCATGTTTGTTGTATTTGATGTTATCAATATATTCAGAAAAAAAGAAATATTGCTTTAGCATTAGCTTCTGCTAAATATCGTGTTGGCATAAGGATCCTTATGGCGTCCCATTTGAAGAAGCCCAGTTGTTTTTTCTTTCCATTATTGGCCATAATCTTTACATAATCCTGGTTTTCTTAGTCTTGACTGGATGTTTCTAATAGAAATGGTTATTATTGGGCCTGAGGTTTCAGCTCTGTGCCTCTCAGATAGCATAAAGGAAGTCCAAATCTGGTAATATAGTATTTCCTCCATATTAAACCGTTGCCATAGATACACAAACATCTGCTTGTGATTGGCTGACTGATCCTCTTCCGGTCACCAAAGAGCTGAACTCTCAGGGTCAGATTATTTATTTAAAAAAAGAAAAGGCGCTTCCTGTTACAAACAAATTTCATCAAAATTCTGAAGTTCTCACGAGGTTTTCAGTCTTGTAAACATCTTAGATTCTCCAGCTACTAAAATCAGCTACATAAACATTTACAAATTAGGCTTGAGCAAATTTAGCCACCGCAGACTTTCCCTCAGCCGTGTCCTCACCACGATGAGCTTCTGCTTGACATTTACACCCAGAGCGAGGCGTTGGCCTGCCCATTCAGAAAAACCAGAACGTTTCTCTGGGGAAAATTCACCCACAGTCGTGACGAAGCTTTCATTACCAACGGAAAGTCAAAGGATCCGATGCACACCTACACCGGCTGCTCGTTTCTCTGCTTCCAGCATCAAATGAAGGCTGCAGTTTACCTCTCACAGCTTTCCTGCTAAAGGAACAGACTCTTAGCAAAAACGTCAAAGATCATTTCAAAACGAATCAAACTAAAAGCAAAAATAAGCTTCAAAGTCTCAGTTTTGGTCCTTGTGTTGCTTTAAATCTACAGAAACACAACAGCAGCAGAAAACCGCAAACGCCACAGAGCAGAGCTCAGGAGTATCTGCTTCCTCTGCGACATGTTCGCTTCGACACAAACATCGAGCTGACAGGAAGCCGCGGCGAGGCGCCACGGCCCGGTTCTGCAAAGGTGAAGAACTTTTCAAGAACAAAACACATGTGCTCATGTTTCTGACGTTTCCTCAAACAAACGTCCTGCAGAAATCCTCAGACAAACAGCATTTACTGCAAAAAATACTCTGACGTACTGTGAAATACCATGAAGTACCGCAAAGTACTCGGCTTCAGATGGATCTTTAAAGCTGGATGTCTGGGATTAAGTTCACAAACATTTCCAGATCATTTGGAGGAGAACCCAGCCACACATTTAAAGCTCATTTCCAGCGAACATGAACTAGATTTTACTTCCTTTTCTCTCCTACAAGCTGTGCAGCAAATGCCATCCTGCTACTTCTGCTTACTGCTGCAGGTCGGCTCTGAGCCGCTGACCTGGTTCTGATGCCAGAACCGTTTCAGGAGGAATAAACTGGTTTCTGTACGGATGACTAAACGTTTCATGGTGATGCTCATGAAAGAACCGGAAAACTTTTTCCTATCATTGAAGACAGATTACCGTAAATCCAGGCATAATTCATTACCGCCTGGAAATCTGTAGAAATGATTTAGCGCTTCCAGCAGCTCATCTTTCTTTCCTTTGTAGATATCAGTAAAACACTAAAAATGTATCCGTTTTAGAACTTCTTCCAGTGGTGAATACACTGCTGCTAATGTGCTAATAGCAGCACTTCTTTTTCACCTAGTCATTCAGAGTTTTTGCTAACTTTGAAAACAAAATTAGTGTTTTAAAGCTTTAGCATTAGCCTCCCCTAATTATGGAGCTTTAGCATTAGCCTCCCCTAATTATGTTTATTTAGAGCTTTAGCATTAGCTTTCATTAATTCCTAATGCTAGCTTCCACTAATTACTATGTTAGTTTAGTATTTTAGTGTTAGCTTCCTCGCTGACATCGTCGGGTAGCATTAGCTGAACTAATGTTTATGATTGGTGTTTTAGGATTAGATAATAAACTTGTTACCTAGCGTTGCTAGCTGCTGGCTCCTTATCTGTCCCTGTTATCATTCTATACTTTACTGTGCTAATAAATGGCTAGCCTTCTGTTTACCTGCAGAATCGGAGATTCTGGTCCGTTTTGACGGATCCATCATCAATGATGAGAATCTCCAGTTTGTGGAAAATGTATTTTAAAAATGAGGATTTTCATTTAATTGCTTTTTGTTTCTCTTTTTGAATAAAATAATCTGATGACCTGTGTGACTTCTGCTCTTGAGTTGCAGCTTAATTTTGTTTCTCTTCTGTTCAGGATGAGATTCTTGTTTTTATTCTGCATGGACTACTTCCTGTGGAGTGTGGTCATAAATAAGAGTGTAGTTTCTGTAGTAAATAATACCATTTCTGCAGTGCATGATGATCTTAACTAGGAAAAGAAAAACTCAGAAACAGGAAGGAGAAATAAATGTGATGCTCTTGGAAACCTGAATTCCTGAGGTTTGAGGTGAAAGTTCACCTCTTAAATGTAAAACCAGAAACAAAGCCGGCGAAGCTGTTACCTGCAGCTGCTGCTGAATGATTTTCATGTTGTGTCTTTGCAGGAAGTTCTGCTCCTGCGATCGGACCTTCTCCAGCTGCGTCTGCAGGTTGGTGAACAGGACCGAAGCCATCGACTCGTCGTTCACCGCAGAATCCCTGAAAACGGCCGAGAACGACCAGAAGAGCAACGAGATTTACACAACAAGCAGCTACAGCTGGACGTGATAGAGATTCATCTGACGATTTAAATGGATGCACTTTGACCCCAGAACGGCAAACTGATAGAAGTCATAGTCACTGTGTGAATATCGGAGCTACTGAGACTGAGTCTAAAAAGAGAGAATAAGTTTTAGGTTTGAGAGAAAGATGCACCAGAAGTGAAGAGTTCAGGTTGAGTATGCTGCTGTTTGCAGTAGGAGGGTGGACTTAGCGTTAGCGGTAAAGTTAACGTTAGTAGTGAAGTTAGTGTTAGCGGTAAAGTTAACGTTAGTAGTGAAGTTAGTGTTAGCGGTGAAGTTAACATTAGCTGTGAAGTTAGTGTTAGCAGTAAAGTTAACATTAGTGATCAAGATAGCTTTAGCAATGAAGTTAGTGTTAGCGGTCAAGATAGCGTTAGCAGTGAAGATAGCATTAGCAGTGAAGTTAACATTAGCAGTAAAGTTAACATTAGTGGTCAAGTTAGCGTTAGCAGTGAAGTTAACGTTAGCAGTGAAGTTAACATTAGTGGTCAAGTTAGCGTTAGCAGTGAAGTTAACGTTAGTGGTCAAGTTAGTGTTAGTGGGACTCTGAGGATCAGGATGTTTGCAGACGACATTGTGATCTATATTTCTATGTTGGAGTCACAGTTAGCACGGTTAGCTTAGCATGATGTGTGTTTGATTTTAGTTTTAGGTTTTCTTTTTGACAGAGTTCAGGGGTGACTGCTGGTTTCAGTCTTTCACCTGAACCCAGAGGGTGGCATTAAGGGGCTGAATTTGTGTTTTCCAGGCACCCTCTGCCATTTTACAGCATAATAAAAGTGTTGAAACCTTGAAACTGCCACTAGATTGAGATATAAACTTCATTTACAGAAAAATGATGTTTTTAATGTGGCAATGGTAAGAAAGTTCTTCGTCATCAATAGTTTTATATGTTATTTTAACGACAAATTTTCTCTTTATTAAGATATTTCAAATAGAATTCTTATTTTAATGAGTTTTATTTAATTTTAAAGAAAAGCTTTTTTATTTTAACAACATATATTTAACTCGTTGAAAATGTTTAAAGGCCTATCTCCTTTTTCTCTCTTTCATTTAAACATTTAAATAATAAATGTTGCTGTTTTACAGATTTGATATTTCTTATTTAAACCACAATATATTCAGGAGAATAAATCTAAATGTAAGGCGTTTTTTTATCTCGTTAAAATGAGAAAAGATTTTATTATAATTAGATTTTATTGAATTTGTTTCTCTGGCAGTTAAAGAAATGTGTCAGAAAATAATAAAACATTTAATAAATGGATCTTTAAACTAATCCTTTGATAGAGCAGCTGTGAAGATTGTTCACAACAGAATATTTTATCTTTTTTTCAGCGGCTTTTAATTCATTTTTCAAACTTTTCCATTATTGTTTCTTTTTTTGGTTTTTGGAGGTGTTTCTCTGTTTTCTAATTGAATTTTGCTCTTTGTTTATGTCATTATGTGATGATGTAATAATAGTTGTGCTTTTCAGTCACCTGCTCAGTGAGGGGCAGAGCAAACTCACCTGGGTGAACTTTGACCTCTCTCGGGAGAGCGGACGTTTTAACTATAATTCACTGATCGTGTTAAATTTGTTATTTTGTTTCTTTTGCTGCTTTTGTTGGTGAATTAATTAGTTTATTTTTGATTGTTTGGCTTTTTGAGTGAATTTCAGTTTTTGACCTGAACGGATATCCGTCTTTGGTTTTCACTGGAAGTTTTAAATCTACTTACTGAGAACTTTTCATAACCTCTTCATCTTGATAAAGTAATCCCCACAGCATGATCATCCCACCACTGTGTTTCTCCGTGGGAACGCTGTGTTTTTATGAAACTGTGACCTGAAACCAAAGGTTTCATCGGATCATAAAGATTCTCCAGAAGGCATTGAGAGATTTTATCTGGTCCTGGATGTTTCCTTCAATCTAAACATGATGTCTGTTATTTAGAGCAAGCGTTCCTGTGCCAGGTGGGATCCCACAGGGCTCTGCGTCAGGCCACTGATTCTTTTACTGCGTTTGTTGCCTCTAAATTCCACTTCTATGCTGAAGACTGTCTGGTTTGTTGGCCATTAAAGCAGAATAGAGCAGCAGATAATTCAGTATTTCCACAAAATCTTTCAAAAGCAGAGATAAAAACTTTAGACCAGATCTTCCTGGTGGCTGTGTTTAAAAGAGAACACAGTCATGTTAGTTTTTGTTAACTAACATAAAAAAAAACAATGTTAGTTCCTGAAATATTCAAGATGGTGGCCATTTTTAAAGATGGATGGAAATTAAAATTCCTTCCTGCACTAAAACTGTAAATAATAATCTCACAACGTGTTTGGCGGCAAGTAATTGGACACAGAAATCATATTTACTGATCATTTTTTGATGATTCAAGATGGCCGCCATATTTGTCATGGAAGATTAATATTTGCTCAAAAATTGTCAATTAAGTAAATGAGTTTGGTGTCAAATCATAGCCTACATATTTTGAACCATAGAAATTGCATATTTTTTCTTGATATTGTTTTTTCAAAATGGCTGCCAATGTTGTAACAGAGAATATTTGTTTGCACTGAAATCAGCAGTAGTCATTGCCAGTGGTGGCACAGCTAGCCAAAAAGTAAGAATCGCTAGCCACTAATATGCTAGAATCATAGCTATGCTATCGCTAAACCTAAAATTTAGCTGAAGCTAATGCTAAACTACTAAATACATATTTATGTATTAGCAGAAGCTATCGCTAAACCATAAATAAATTAGCAGAGGCTAATGGTTAGCATCGGCGAGTCTGGAGTCTTCATCTCCAGACTCCCTGATGTTCCTCAGTTTCTGATTTTATTAAATATTATTTACTTAAAAGTTGTATGAACAGGATAACCAAAGTCAAACACACATAATGAGACATAAAATTCATCCAGGTTATGAAAATGGGAAACATTTTATGACAATTATTGGTTTAAAGGCTCAAAAATGACGGCCATCTTGAAAAATGGTGGTCATCATGAAATTGGTGACTGATGTGAAAAATGAATGAAATAAAACCATGAACTGCAGAATCATATTTAGAGCTGAAGAAGAACTAAAGACAACTGAATCCTTCAATAAAACCTTTTAGTTTAAAGAAACTCGTTTGTTTTTCAGAATAAAAGTGACAGAAAATGTTTTAAAATACACCATTCATCTTTGTAGCCGTTGCTGCAGCTTGTTAAATATAAGCTGTGGTGAACAGACAGGAAGTGATGTCAATGAGGTTGTAAACAGAAGCTTCAGGAAGTAATCTGATTACTCTGATAAACCAGTAATCCTGCTGTGTTTTCGGTTCCTCTCTGAGTCGATTCAAATTTATTTGTGACCCAGATGGTCAACTGATGTTACAACAAGTATAAAAGCTAAAACGCAAAGTATTAAAAAAAATAAAAACAATAAAACATACAAAAAGTTGATCAAATATAAATCAATTCTTAATGGAAAGAGTACAGCAGAGAATTTCACTGTTGACCGACAGAAGGAACCCAGTCAGTCCACCGAGTCCTGAGTTAAAAAGAGAAACTGCTGCAGGAACAAAGCAGAGATTCTACCTGATACTGTAACTGTGACTGTATCTGTAACTGTATCTGTTACTGTTACTGTTACTATAACTGTTACTGTAACTGTGACTGTATCTGTAACTGTTACTGTATCTGTAACTGTATCTGTTACTGTTACTGTTACTATAACTGTTTCTGTTACTGTTACTGTTACTGTTACTATAACTGTATCTGTATCTGTTACTGTATCTGTAACTGTTACTGTATCTGTAACTGTTACTGTATCTGTAACTGTTACTGTA